CACCACCTGCATTCACAGCAACCATTCCCTCAAAAGAATTGCCTTCCTCATACTTTTTATTTACCCCCTCACAACCTTTCTTTGCGAGCGCCTTTCCCACCATGTAAGCAAGGTCTTTAAAATCATTCACTGGTTATTTCAAGTCTTCTAGTGGAGCTATAAGCAAGACAAAACAGAGAGATCATTCAGTAGCCAGTAGCAAAACCTGGTAATGAGTTCCAACTCATAGATTCATTCAATTTCAGACTTAAAGTGATTCCATATTTTTCTATTTGGTTGGATACGAATGTATATTTCTAGTCAACAGATCTAGAAAATGCCTTATTTGTTTAAAAGTTTCCAGCTTACATACAAAGGGTAACAAATCTGTTGATTTAACCATAAAATGAGATGTTGCAGACCCCCATGTGGCCCAAGTGGCCACGCTGCCTTAGGTAGCAAGTGGTCCGTACACTTTTCAATCCTTTGAGTTTCCGTACTAACAAATAATAACACATTACTAATTAATTCTTACTATAAAAAAAAAAAACCCATAAATGAGATGTTATGAAGTAATTCACATAATAAGAACACCTCAAACATAAAAAGAAAAGCACCAATAGCAACACCAAAACACCGGTTTCTCATATCTATATTAATGTGCCTAGAGTAGATCTCATGTTTAAACAAATTATTATGAAGCTATATCTAATATCTACTAGCCAGACAATCAGAGAAACCATGACTTGATAAAACTGATACATGAGAGCTTGTATCCTCCTAATACAAGTAGGTAAGGTAACCTTACTGCAGCATCAATTTTTTTTTTTATTGTTGTATAATAGAAAACAATCATCTCACATCTTTTATCTCACCCCACTCGCATGTCATGTAATTGAAACTCAAAATCTCTTACTCTCAGCAAAAACAAATGATCACCAAATTAATTAGTTCATTAGCATTGTAGCACCATTTTTCTGCACCAACTTCCCATGCACTTTTTTTTTTTTGGGATAAAATGTAAGTTTTATTTATCCAGACTAACTGTGTACAATATAAGCAGCAAATGTACTGCTACCAGAAAAAAAAAATCCAAACAGAATGTACAAGTAAACAATATGCACAGATTAATCTTGCAAACTTCAAGCCCCCAGCTGCATGCAATAGTTGTGGGCAATTATGAATGAAGTAGGGGTTACAATTTGCACAGGGGATACACTTGCAATCTCTACCTCTGCAATTCTGCCCCAACCACCCTTCCATCTTACCCTTATCCCCAATGCTCCATGAATCAAAATTCAAAATGGGACTTCCCAAACAACAAAAGACAAAAACTTGGGACTCGCCAACTCTTCTCCAACCTAAAAGCTACTAATTTATAATTGAAAGTAGCTTTTCCTCTCCAAATCCAGTCCAAGAATTGAACCTCAAGCGCAGAAAATCATATTCGTATTCACTCGAATTCTATAAACCCAGTGCAGATATTTATCTTGAAAATAGTGTAAACCACGACGTGCCTGAAGCGACGGCGAGCATAAAGAATTCTCAGATGCAGCAGAAATACGGTTTTTTTCTTCTTTTCTTCTACTTCTCTTCTCCGGTCCGGTCTTTTCTTCCAAAAGTCACAACTTCTCTACTTCGAAGAGGAACGTCAAAACCAGAGACCCGACCCGGAAAACCAACGACGGATACTGGATTGGGAGAAATTGGGCTGGATCTTGGATTTGGTTTGGGGCCATATGTTAGATATTTTATTTCTTTACATATATTTATCTCTAGACTTCTACGCTTTATAACGCCATGAAATGCCATAAAATTATTATTATTATTATTATTTTATATTAAATATAAATTGAGAGGTAATTCTTTGTTCTCTTATTCTATTCCATCTACATCTATTAAAATGAAATTATTGAATCAGAACAAAACTTTATCATAATTAGGAATTTGTTGATCAAAATAAAAGGGTTTCGGTATTTTTTAAATAAGGTTTTAAATTTATATATTGAGAAATAAGTATGAAGACAATTTTTTCCAAATTGAGTCATCTTCGTCAATTTTAAATTAATCGAAATCTAATATAATTATTAGATACCAAAAATTAGTAAAAAAAAGAAAAACAAAACCCAATTATCAGGATTTGTTCCATTAGTTATCCAGATTGGGCTGTTCTAGCCTCCACAACTTTTTTTTTTTTTTACTTTGCACAGCTCTTTTTCGTTATCTTTATTTATTTACAAATTTGCCACAAGTTTTAGTGAAGGTGGTTGACGCTTAGTTGGACGCGGAACCAAACAAGGCTGAAGGAGGGTTCTATGCATTGGGAGAATGTTCTGGAAGCATTTTACGGTGAATAAAGCTAAACCCTAACACTATCAGCACGAGTTCGTGCCTCCTTACCTACAATCTCAGACACCAAGCACTCTCTCGCCCAAAACCCAGATACCCCCTTTAATTTGTTTGGTCTTTTTGGGTGTCCAAGAAATGGCATCTGCTAATGCTCTTTCCTCAGCGTACATTTTCTGCTCTCTCAAACAGGTAATGGTTTCATCCCATTTCACCTTTTGTTTTGCGGTGAAAGCTCTGGAAAACGGAAAAGGATATGCTGTTTCTTTTCTTTCTTTTGTAATTCGTGATTGGAAGAACTTTTGCAATTGCTCTGGCATCCTGGAAAGTAGGATCTTTTGTGCTTAGTGAAAGTTGTCTGCTTTTCATATTTATGAGCAGAAATGATTGGTGAACTGATTTTAATTCGGTTTATATTTGTTTTTTAAGTTTCTTTCAGTTGGCAATTTTTAACCTTTTGTGTTTTTTGGGTTCATGATGTGTTTTCGTTTCATGGGTGTTGTTGGCTGCAGGGTAGCGTTAGGGGAAGGGGTAATCAGCAGCAGAGCCAAATGCTAAACTACAGGCAATCAAACAGACGATTTGCTGTGAGAGCAAATGCAAAAGAAATTGCCTTTGACCAGCGTTCAAGAGCAGCAATGCAGGCTGGGATTGATAAGCTTGCTGATGCAGTTGGGCTTACTCTTGGTCCTAGGGGTAGGTCTTGTTCCGTTCACCATTGTGCATTGTTCTGATGAATGATATTCTGTCGTGTTCTTGAATTGTGAGTTTGGACCATTTTTACAATTGAAGCTTTTTAATCAAGTAAATTCGTTTTCATTAGTTCTTGTTAAGTAATTGAACCTTTATGTATGATCTTGAATAATTTATTTGAAGACTACTCGACATGGTTTCTTGGCTGACTGGTTCATTTGTTCATTTGTTTTGTTTCTGAAGGGAGGAACGTTGTTTTGGGCGAATTTGGAAGTCCTAAAGTTGTTAACGATGGTGTAACAATTGCTCGAGCAATTGAGCTACCTGATCCCATGGAAAATGCTGGTGCAGCTCTAATTAGAGAGGTTGCTACATACTCTTTCTAGTGCTTCTATCTTGAGTCTTCAATTAAGCAGTTCCTAAGCTTCTTATGTTATTGTCAATGACTCTTAAATGCATTTTGTTTCTGGTTTTGATATAATGACATTTTTTGTTTGGGATGAAGGTTGCAAGTAAAACTAATGATTCTGCTGGTGATGGGACAACTACTGCATCTGTGCTTGCAAGGGAAATAATCAAACTAGGACTGCTAAGTGTCACCTCTGGTGCAAATCCTGTCTCAGTGAAGAGGGGAATTGATAAAACTGTACAAGGGTTAGTAGAAGAGCTGGAGAAGAGGGCCAGGCCTATCAAAGGCCGTGATGACATTAAATGTATAAGTGATGCAGATTGAGTCTCTTCGAGCAAATTTATATGGTTACCAGTGAAATTCTCCTCTTTTAATTTTATATGTGCTCTTCTTTGCAGCTGTTGCTTCTATTTCTGCTGGAAATGATGAGCTTATTGGAACTATGATTGCTGATGCAATTGACAAGGTTGGGCCTGATGGAGTTTTATCCATTGAGTCATCATCATCTTTCGAGACAACAGTAGATGTTGAGGAAGGAATGGAGGTCAGTGTTTCTTCATGGTGTGAATCTCTTTCACTTTGGGTGGGGGGGCTTATTTTATTCTATTCCATATTCTAACTGTGTCTTATCTGTTATCTACTGACCATGCAGATTGACAGAGGCTATATCTCCCCTCAGTTTGTTACAAACACTGAGAAATTGATTTGTGAATTTGAGAATGCAAGAGTGCTAATCACAGATCAGAAAATTTCAGCCATTAAGGACATAATTCCCTTGTTAGAGAAGACTACTCAACTGAGAGCTCCTTTGCTTATAATTGCTGAGGATGTTACTGGTGAGGCTTTGGCCACCCTTGTGGTGAACAAACTGCGAGGTATCCTCAATGTTGCTGCCATTAAAGCTCCTGGTTTTGGTGAGAGGAGAAAGGCTCTTCTTCAAGACATTGCTATCTTGACTGGTATGTGAAATTCTAGTGGAGATAAATTAGTACAATGATACCTGGGGGTTCTAATTGGTGTTCTGACATTCTGTTTTCTTTCACTTAATTGTAGGAGCTGAGTTCCAAGCTAGTGATTTGGGTTTGCTTGTAGAGAACACTTCAGTTGAGCAGCTTGGTATGGCAAGAAAGGTTACCATTACCAAGGATTCAACTACCATAATTGCTGATGCTGCATCAAAAGATGAGTTACAAGCTCGGATAGCCCAACTCAAGAAGGAGTTGTTTGAGGCAGATTCTGTTTATGATTCAGAGAAACTGGCTGAGAGAATTGCAAAATTGTCTGGTGGTGTAGCTGTTATTAAAGCAGGAGCTGCTACTGAAACAGAGCTTGAGGATCGCAAGCTTCGCATTGAGGATGCCAAGAATGCTACTTTTGCTGCCTTAGAGGAAGGAATTGTGCCTGGTGGTGGTGCTGCCTTGGTTCATCTCTCAACTTGTGTTCCTGCAATTAAGGACAAGCTAGAAGA